CAGAGCAGGGCATGACATCAATCTTTGCAAGTCACGCTGGCAGCCTCCCCCAGCTCAGACACGTGGAGCGGCCGCTCCGTCCTGGTGGTCACTGCTGGAGCTCTGCTCTGGGTGACAGCCATTTGTGCGTTGAGATTGTTCTTTGGGAGAGAACAGGATGAAGCTCAGCCTGACTCTCTTCCTGGCCATCGCTCTGACCATGTCTCCATTTGCGGGACATGGCCCTGGCTGTGTCAGCTGTCTCAGCTGGGTCTGGAACTGGGACCAAAAGCTGGATGTTCCTGAGGAGCAGCATCTGCTTGGGACCAGGAGCCAGACCCCCACCTTGCCTTGCTGGTTTGGCCTAGCGTCATGTCCCGACAGCACTGAGAACAGGAAAGCAAACCAGCTCCTTCCCGAGCAGCACCATCCAGTGGAGACCAAGATCCCAACCTCCACCTGGCCTTGCTGGCTTGGCCTAGCCTCCTGCCCTGACAGGACTGAGGGCAGGAAGAGAAACTGGCTCCTTCCGGAGGAGCAGCACCCACTGGGGACCAAGATGCTGACCTCCTGCTGGTCCTGCTGGCTTGGCCTTGCCTCCTGCCCTGACAGTATTGAGGGCAGGAAGACAAACCAGCTCTTTCCTGAGGTGCAGCACCCACTGGGGACCAAGATGCTGACCTCCTACTGGTCCTGCTGGCTCAGCCTAGCCTCCTGCCCTGACAGTATTGAGGGCAGGAAGACAAACCAGCTCTTTTCTGAGGAGCAGCACCCACTGGGGACCAAGAGCCAGACCTCCACCTGGCTTTGCTGGTTTGGCTTTGCCTCCTGCCCCACCACGATCAAGGAGAGGAAGACCAACCATGTCCTTATGGAGGAGCAGCATCCAGTGGGGACCAAGAGCCAGACCTCCACCTGGCTCTGCTGGCTTGGCTTAACCTCCTGCCTTGACAGGACTGATGGCAGGAAGACAAACCAAGTCCTTCCTGAGGAGCGGTGTCTAGAGGAGATCAAGTGCCAGACCTCCACCAGGCCCTGCTGGTTTGGTCTAACCTCCTGCCCCATCAGGATCGAGGACAGGAAGAGATACCAGCTCCCTCCTGAGGAGCAGCACCCACTGGGGACCAAGAGCCCGACCTCCACCTGGCTCTGCTGGCTTGGCCTAATGTCCTGCCCCGACAGGACTGAGAACAGGAAGAGAAACCAGCTCCTTCCTGAGGAGCAGCATGCTGTGGAGACCAAGATCCTGACCTCCTACTGGCCGTGCTGACTTGGCCCTTCCCCATGCCCCAGATGGGTCTGGTACAAGGACAGCAAGGTAGTCGTTGCACAGGGACCAAAGCAGCAGTCCCCAGGCACCAAGCAGAAGGCCTACAGCTTGCCTGGCATCCTGGGCCATCTTTGGCACTACCTTGTGCAAAGCAGAACAACCTGTCTCCTTACCGATTCCTTGATCATCATCTGCATTTATTGCCTGCAGACGATTGCCTGCAGCCTCTGGAGAGGATTAAGAAGGCCTCGGGCACAGGTGAGCGACGGAGATGCATTGTGCAGGGAGGGTACCATGGCTGGGGAGCAGGGAACCATATACGTGAGGACCTCCCAGGAAAGCAGGCCACCAGAGATGCATAAGTTCTCCCCAGGGACTTGCCCAGCCATGGGGCTGTCACACAGCGGGAGACCTCTGTGCAAAACGGGGCCTGCAAGAGGTGGTGTGACCCCACGGGCTGCCCCAAGCTGTCCTGCGGGGCCGGAAATGCTCCGCGCCGATCGGAGCCCTGCAGGGTGATTCTCTGCTAAACGAGCCTGCATCCCTTGCACTGTGCCCATGCCCTTTCACTTCCAGGGTGCAGGACAAACGGCCTCAGTTTCCACGCAAATCTGAATCTCCCCTGGCTCAACTTGTGGCCATTTCCTCGGGTCCTGTTTGTTGCCTAGGAGAAGAGGCCAAACCCCTCCTCATCACAGCCTCCCTTCAGGAAGTTGTAGGGTGCAATGAGGTCTCCCCTGAGCCTCCTCTTCTCCAGACTGAAACAGTCCCAGCTTCCTCAGCTGCTCCTCCTAAGATCTGTGCTCCAGACCCCTCACCACTTTCACTGCCCTTCTCTGGACACATTCCGCGCCCTCAATGTCTTTCTTGTAATGAGGGGCCCAAAACTGGTCACAGCACTCGAGGTGAAGAGCACGAGGACGAGCTGTGCCACAAACACGAACACCTCCTGCAGAGGACTTTTGCATTTGCCTGTCAGAAAGATAACGGTTGGTGTCACTGATCTCTCTCCCCAAGGCTCTTCCAGCTCCAAACGAAGACCGGATTAAACATCTCTTGGGACAAATTGCTTGCACCTCCCAGGAGAATGAGCTGGCCTGCTTCTACCCACGCCTGGCCTCCAAATCAGAGACAGGGAAGATCGGCTTAATTAACTTGGGAAACACTTGCTACATGAACAGTGTCATCCAGTCTCTTTTCATGGCTTCGGAGTGAGTTGTTGCTCCCTTGTTCCCACTTAGGACAGCTCCAGGGCTGCTTTGTGCACTGGCATCGTGCTTTCCACGCTGATTTTCCATCTTGGTTTGCATCTCTTGTTGTCTTTTGCAGCTTTCGGCATTCGGTGTTGAATTTAACTGAGGCCATCTCCCAGCCCCTGATGACAAAACTCCAGCGGCTCTTTGCATCTTTGGAGCACAGTCAGGTAATTATTTCATGGATAGTTCATATGAGTACCTACGTGATAGGCACTGGTAGAAGTGAGCACATAGAAGCTCTTCTCCTCGTGACAGTCCAGCCAAAGGACGTTCAGCAGGGCTGAAGTTCATCCCTCCACCGCTGGATGCAGCAAAGAAAGCAACTCTTCTCCCGTGTGAAGTGAGGTCCAGTGGATTAAATGTGTTTTTCCCTCTCGGTTCCAGCGACCTGCCATCTCACCCAAGAGGTTCCTCTCTGCCTCCCAGGCACCCTGGTTCACCCCTGGTGCTCAGCAGGACTGCTCGGAGTATCTCAAGTACCTCCTGGATCGGTATGTGGCAAGCACTCCAATTTTGGAGCCCAGACATGATGAGGCCCCAAGACTTGGTGTAATATGAAATGCTGACTCCCGTGGGAGTGGTGCGAGTGGCTGAGATCTGAGAGATTTGGTGTAAAAATGGGAAGACCAGTCTGGGGCTTCTTAGTAGAACTGTGTGTGCCCAGCTGGGGGTAAGAAATGGATTCAGCTTGAAAATTTCTGAAATTGCACCAAGATCAGAGGAAAACTGCTTGCCTGACAAGCCTCCTCTTTAAAACACTGATTCTGCCTTTCCTTCACCTAAAAATCCCAAATCCCCAGAGTCCTCGTGATGCCCCTGGAAGTGGGCTCAATGCACACTGACCATCTCTGCTTTCTGCACCACCACACTTGGCATCAGAGCCCTGTGCACAGACAGGTTATCACACGTTAGCTGCGAGGAGCAGAGAACAGACACCATACTGTAGAAGCTCGTTCTTTAGGTTTTATTGCTCTATGTTGCCATCTTTTTTCTTCTGCCAAAGATTGCATGAAGAAGAAAGAACTGGAAAGAGGATCTACCACCAGAAGCTCAAGGAATCCGGCTTGACGTCCCAAGCCACGGAGCATCATTCCTTAAACAAGACGTTGATCGAGAGGATGTTTGGGGGGAAAATGACGACAAAGATTCGTTGCTTGAAGTGTTGGAACATCTCCTGTAGAGAAGAAGCCTTCACAGACCTGTCGTTGGCCTTTCCCCCTCCGGATAGGCCCATACGTGGACCAGGAAGCACCTCTGTTTTGCCCGTGGCAGAAGTCAGCCCACAGTTTATTGAGCCTCACAAATACCCAAGCCAGCCAACAGGGTCTAAGGACTCCCGATCCGTCTCGGATTTACTCAACTATTTTCTGTCTCCAGAGAGGCTGACAGCAGAGAATCAATACCACTGCGAGCAGTGTGCTTCCTTGCAGGATGCTGAGAAGGTGGCAGAGCTGACAGAGGGCCCGCACTACCTCATCCTCACACTGCTGCGGTTCTCCTTCAACCCGCAGACCATGAAGAGGACTAAGATCCTGGAGAATATCTCCATCCCTGCAGTGCTCGAGCTGCCCATCCTTGTCAGCTCAGAGGAAACTGAGGGCGTTTGCCGGCATGGGGAGGACAGGGCTGGCCGGGGCAGCACCTTTGTGCCCGCCGTGTACGATCTCTGCAGCGTGGTGGTGCATTCGGGCATCTCCTCCGAGAGCGGCCACTACTACTGCTACTCCAGAGAGTGCACCGACACCGTGCCCCACGCACCGCCCCGTGACGGGACACCGGCTTCTGGCAAGCAGTTGGACTTTGAAAACCCGTGGTACCTCTTGAACGACACCAGGGTTTCCCTCGCCTCCTTTGAATCTGTCAGCAACCTGGCTTCTTTATACCCCAAGGACACTGCCTACGTGCTCTTCTACAGGCAGCGGGAGGGCAGGCCAAGCTCCCACTGCATGAGGCTGTGGCAGAAGCCAGCCACCTGCACAGAAAACTGTCCCTCAATGAGGACTCGATGGAAGCCATCTCCAAAGACAACATCCTCTACTTGCAGGTAGATCCCAGCTGTACACATACTGCACTTTCTCCCTGAGATTGGGTGTTGAGCTCAATGTATGGCATCAGTGAGGCAGCCAACACCAGGCACAAGAGACTGACTGAGTGACGTCTGTCCTGGGCAGATCTGCAGCACTTTTTTTCCTAGTGTCCAGGTGTGGTGAGTGGAGCACAGCTGCCAGTCAGGTGCCCACCTACCTGCTCTCAGTCCCCCATTTTTGATCACCTGTGTAGTGCCACACTTAGATGCATCTCTCCAACCACATCCCAGAGATGAGTACGTGCCATAGCAACCCCAGACTGGTTTTGGGAAAATTCCCAGGGGCAAACGGACAGCACAGGGAAGGAGGGAGCAATTCCCAAGGCTCATTTCCATGCAAATGACAGCAATATTCTTGGTCATTTCTCCTACAGGACCAGGAAAAAAGAGGCAAGGAATAGATCTGCCTACATTCCCTCCTTGCCAAGATGCCCCAAGCCTCAGTCCACCAAAGGTGTGTGAGCGGAAAACTCCTTGATGACAGCAATGTCTTTTCCTGAGTGCATGCCAAGATCATGCCAACATCTCCTGGATCATCACCTCCATTTCCAAGCATGCATGACATAAATAAAACCATCATTCCTGCAGCCTGTGTCATTGTGGTGGCAGTGGGTCCGGGACAGCGGCAGCACGAAAGGTGTTGGTGCAGGAGAGTGCTGCTGTGCGGGGAAGGGGAGGGAGGCCCTGAGGCGCGGCGGCTCAGACTGCCTGCTCTGCTTCACCCCTTGGCTTCTTATTGCTGACTGGCAGCTCAGGCTGGCAGCCATGAAGTTGCTGAGAGCAGCCTGCGGGACTTTGGGGCACTGGGCGGTGTTACGGTTCCAGCCCGGTGCGGCTTGGTTCTGTGACTATGGGGCAGAGGGACAAACAGCCTGGGAAGGGGCGACAGGGGTGTGGAAAGAATAGGGAAGGGGGCCTGCATACAAAACAGCGTCGGCTGTCTCCCACGCATGCCATCTGCAGTCCTTCCTGCAGCGCTGAGCTCCGGGGGACCTTTCCTGGGTTGTTTCATTGTAATGCGCTTTTGCCAGCCCACCTTGAGGCGCATCTAACGGTGGGAAAAGGCCGAATCCGGCCCAGCAGGCAACACTGCAATGCCAGTGGATCAAGGATGTAAACTGTACGGAGGAACATAGAAACCATAGGAATGTGAGGTCCTTGAGGATGAGTGAAGGTAAGCAGAGCTGTGAGCAACTCAAGGCCAGAGGGGGGAGTCCTGTGAAGATAAGGAGCAAAGTTGCTGTTGCGACACAGTGCAACCCCCTGACAAGGCTGAAAGTTCACAGTGAGAAAGACATCCAGTGTCCAAGACGTCCTGCATCCAGTGACCACCAGAGACCCCCAGCACATCATTGGGACGCATGCTTAACAGGGTGGGCCAGCATGTTAACAATTTCTTAGAATCCCAGCCTGTTTTCTTGGAATGTAACAATATGTGCATGTTATGCCTTTAAATGTGTAACCACTGCTTTTCTCGGTGTGCGAGTCAAGAGGAGATATCCCCCTCGCACCCGGAGCCATAATAACCATACCTGCTTTATAATCTTACGTGGGTTACAGAGTTTGATTCCGCACGCCTGCAGTATTCCCAGGTGGTGGGTCTGCAAGCTTGCTTGGCAGCACTGAGCAGCAGCAGGTCGACCTGGATGATGCTGAGGGTCACAAATTGCCCCCAGCTACAAGAGACTGAGCAGCTCTGGTTGGTTTTTAGGGCTCCATTGGGCCATTCGTGTGTCATTGGTGACCTGTGGATGCTGTGAGTGCCTTGTAAGGCAGACCCAGCTGTTTGTCCAGATGTGTCTTTAGGACTTGGTTACTCTGGCGTTTCCTGGATTCTAATCAGATCTGCCAGACTACACAACTGGGATCTAAGACCCCTAAACCCACCAGCCATTTCTTAAAATACTGATTGGCTAGGAAAGTAACCCAACCAGATGCACTGTATGCACCCCATATAAGTGCAGCCTATGTAAAGCAGAGCTTTCTACATAATCAGTCACAGAACAGGGGCTGATTTTGGTGGCAGGAGCCAACGCAAGCCCTGGGCATTGTGTCTGTAGGATCGTAGCTCTGGCACACAACGCCCCCCACCCACTGTCCCAACTTTGAAATCCCGTGGTACCTCTTCAATGATCACAGGGTTTCCTTCTCCTCCTTTGAATCAGTCAGCAATGTGACTTCTTTCTTCCCCAAGGACACTGCCTACGTGCTCTTCTACAGGCAGCGGGAGGGCAGGCCAAGCTCTCCACTGCATGAGGCTGTGGCAGAAGCCAGCCACCTGCACAGCAGACTGTCCCTCAATAAGGACTTGATGGAAACCATCTCCAAAGACAACATCCTCTACTTGCAGGTAGATCCCAGCTGTACACAGACTGCACTTTCCCACTGAGATTGGGTGTTCATGAAGTCATGAAGCCATGAAGCAAAACCTCAGGCCTTACTCTAATGCTGAAGGCATGACGGCTAGGGAGCACATTGCAGAGGTGGGCCGAAAAAGAAGGGCCAGTCTGGGGACTCCCAGGCACTTCTATCTTTCCCTCTGAACAGAAAATGGAAACCAAGGCAAATGCACTGCTTGTTGCCATGGGGATTGGAGGCTGCCTGGACTGTAGTGAGCATGTTACAGTTGAGTTTATACTCCAGAGGGATATGGGACAGGCAAAGAGTAGAATTAGGAAGCTAAACTTTAGGAAAGCCTCGTTCCTGCTCTTCAGGGTGTTATTTAACAAGATGCCCTGAGAAACTCATGGGCAAGAGCATGGAGCAGAGCTGGCAGACGGGCAGCAGGGTGAGGGAGGTGATCCTGCCCCCCTGCTCTGTGCTGGTGAGGCTTCAGCTGGAGTACTGCGTCCAGATGTGGAGTCCTCAGAACAAGAGAGACAGAAACATGTTGGAGTGCATCCAGAGGAGGGCACAGAAAGGATCCAAGGGGCAGAACACCTCTCCTACACGGACAGGCTGAGGTCTGGGGCTGTGCGGCCTGGAGAAGAGAAGGCTGCAAGCTGACCTGAGAGTGGCCATCATAGCACCAGGTCCCCATTCCCAACCCAGCTTGGTGTTGAACAGCCGTGGGCAAAGGGACTCCGCATGTCGTGCTGCCATCACTGCCCACGTCCTCAGGGGACTCCAGTGGGATTTTCCATGCAGCTCCATGGACACACATGGACAAACACGACCCATATGGGCACGCTGGGAATAGCTGAGGGCAGTCACGGAGCCCCAGCGTGTTTGCTGCATGGGGTGAGTGTCCCTGCTGTGCACGTGGCGGAGAGCTGCTTCCACTGTGGGTTGCAAAAGGGCAAAGGAGCTCGTCTGTGCTCCCAAAATAGGAGCAGGTTGCCACACACCCCGACTGTCTGTCCTTTGGCCCTTTTGGCAGCACTGGGCTGCTGGTTCTGCTGACGGGTGGGATTTCAGCAGCACCTCCTCACCCTCGGTTTCATCTCGGAGCGTTCTGTGTCCCCTGCGAGCAACTCCAGCGTCACAATGGGGCACGAGGAGGTGATGGGGACCAGCCTGAGGCTGCTGAGCCTCATTTGCTGCCCCGAGCCCTGCAGCAGCTCGGGAGGGCAATGCTGGGACCAAAAGCTGCAAGCAGGAGGCAGTGTCCTAAATATTAGACTGCTGAACATGCAGTAGGCGATTCTAGTTTAAAGAGAACTTGGGTCACAAAGTCATCCTTGACAGATTCAGTATGTTCTCCTCTGCTTTCATTTTTAGTTTTCAAACATAACACACAGTTGTGAAAACCAAACAAAAAAAATATCATTGAAGTAGAGAAAAATGTAAGGGAAGCACAAAGTCATCATTTGAACCGAGCAACATAAAAAAGAAAGTGGAGCTGAGTATTTCATTGCCATATTCTATTTCTAGTATGCCCCTAGAATTAATTTCTTGGCTACAGTTGTAAACTCTAAGGATCTGATCCTTCTACTAACGTTATCTCATTTTCTTGCTCTGGCAAAATAAGGTGCAGAGTTTGATATCCAGGTTTTATTCTTTCACGGAAGTTTTATTAGTGTTGTTGATAGCTTTATGAGCAAATATACATCATTTGCTTCATAAATGTAACAGCGAACAAAGTTTTCTTCCCGTATGTGCACCGGATAGTATCATCTGCTCAGGTACGGGAGAGCCCAGCGGTTTCCTCTGCCCTGCCCAATGCGCTCATCACGGCAGGCCGCTCTGAGCACAGCTCCCAGCAGCGGGGATGGCGCTGGGGCAGCCGCAGCCCCCGGGGATGCGCAAGCGACAAGTGGCCCAAAAACAGAGCACTGTGGCTTCCCATCGAGGGACGAAGGCAGACGGGCGGCCCGAGCCGCCGAGCCGCGGTGTCACCAG